TGGCCAATGACCCTGTACTATATAGTACAGGGACTTTGGCTCAATTTTTGAGCAAATTAAAAATTCGTTTAAAATCTAAATTTGATCAGAATCAGCTCAAACTTTCTACACAACATAAAAACATGTATATGCATCAAATAAAATTATAAAAATGGAGAATTCTTACCTTTTCATTTTTGGCAAAATTTGGCCAATGACCCTGTACTATATAGTACAGGGACTTTGACCCAATTTTTGAGCAAATTAAAAATTTGTTAGAAATCTAAATTTGATCAGAATCAGCTCAAACTTTCTACACAACATAAAAACATGTATATGCATCAAATAAATTATAAAAATGGAGAATTCTCACCTTTTCATTTTTCGCGAAATTTAGCCAATGACCCTGGACATAAAAAATTTAATTTTGATCGGAATTAGCTCAAACTTTCTACGAAACATAAGTACATGTATATGCATCAAAAAAGTTATAAAATGGAAAATTCTCTCTTTTTCATTTTTGAAAAAATTGGCTTGAGACTCAGTACAGGGACTTTCGTCAAATATTTTAAACTTTTGTCTCCAATATCAATGAAAGGACTGCAGACCCAAAGGCTCATATAGCAACATTATAGCAACAATAAAGTGTATGCTTACCCTTCTTTTCTTGTTTCAGCCTTTCTCTCAGTTTGTCTAATTCCTGTTCAATTATTGACTGGTCCTGATTCATCAGTTTAGTAAAAGAATTCTTTAATAAATCATTTGCTGTAACTGTGGAAAGTGGAGTAGTCATCTGTTGGACAATTTCATCACCTTTAAAAAGAGAGAGAGAGAGAAAGAAAATACACGTACCATATAGCTGGAAAGTTTCGTGGCCAAAAACTTTCGTGGTTTTTGTGGTTTAGAAGGACACCACAAAATTAAAAACCAAAAATTATTTTAACTATTATTGAAAGGTGTGGTATTATAGCAAATTAATGAGAGGCGTGGCTGCTTCAATGATGATCCACGAATATAAAAACCACAAATAGGCCAAGAACCTCCAAACCACGAAAGTTTTTTGCTACGAAACTTTCTGGCTATATGGTAGAATGGTAGATTTTATGTTGGTAGTTTCTTCAAAGATCAATCAATTACTACATGGCTTTTGAGCAACGATGAAATCATTCAAGTTACATCTCCTTATAGTCGACATGTATATGTAAATGAAAATTAAATGCTTTTAAAAATACTTATTCCATCAATAATTACAGAATTACCCACCTCTATTTTACAGTTAGAATGTCCCACCCCACATTACAGTACACAGTTCTTACCTAGTACAGTCTGTAGTTCTGGTACGTTTACGACAAAGTTCCTAATTTCTTCAAAAGGTCTAAAACCACACAATCCCTCAAAATTATTCAAAGCAATGACAAGCTCTGGCTTATGATTAGAGTCAGGATAATACTGAGGGGAATTGGAGTGAAGATAATGGGCGTGGTCTTTAGTGGGATGGGCCTGGATTGATAACGCCTTATTAATGGAAAGTATCTAAAAATAAAATTTAAAAAACGATTTGATATATAGATGCTTTACTTTAAAGAGAAATGGTAAGTTTCGTCCATATTTATCGACCACTTTCTGACCGAGAGAAGACGGATTATCATGTATCCATTTTGATAATTGGAGACCATTTATTGATGACGGGTAGGATATTATAGATGGTCCTTTAACATGAGTTCCCATCCATAACTGAACAAAAGAAAATTTAAAACAATGAAAATAATAATTTACCTCTGCATATGGTTCTTGTTCACTGAGGGAGAATGAAGGATCTTTTAATTTTAATTTTGCCACTTCACTCGCGGATCCATACTTGCCCCAAGCGTATTTTTGTACAGCACAAGAGAGCTCTAAGAACGACGCCATTAACTTAGCTGGGTGTGGTTGTTTACTCACACCCACATGTGTACACGTGTTTAGTTTAGTCCACCCACGTGTAATCACGTGTAATCACTGCCCATAACAACAAAAGAGTACTTCTCCTTTTTGGATTTTGGTAAGTTGTATAATCAATCTTTTACGTAAAAAAACCTGCTACTGGAGAGGATTTATTTCAGTGGCTCTTTAAAACAATGTTAGACTACTCTATTAATGTAGTATCTAGATCTAAATTTTTGTTCATTCTCAATTCCAGAATCCAGCTGTGTTATGTTCATCAGACACACTATGTTTCCTATGCCTTTTAGTGTGGTTTTTGTATCTTTCTCTACTTGTGTTCCTTCCATGTTTTCTATTTGTTTCCTATATCTCTATTGCAACATCATTTTTTCATTGAAATCCTCTAGGGTCTCCATTTTCTCCCTGTAGTTATTGTCTTATATAAGGCTTTGTCTCAGTCTTATCATCAGCTCCAAAAGAAAGAAGTCACACTTTTAAGAATAATGGTTGCATCTGTTGCTATGATATTGACTTACTTTCTTGCCATTGTTACTGCTGCTGGTATGTCTAATTTATTATTGTATTAATGTTATTATTATTCATATTCTTCTTACAGGTATAGATGTGAATAATTTGTTCACTATTGTACCAGTAACACAGTATGCTTATGTCAATGACACTGTAACTTTTGAATGTGCTACCAGCAACACAAATGATCATCCTTATTTTACTGTTGGAGGCTCAGTTCTCTCTTCATATTCAAGTGTAGTATTACCTGAAGGTGGAATGATGATATCATTTAATCTAACAGCAACTGATGAATCAAATGGAACTGATGTCACCTGCTATACTATTGCAAGTCAACCCTCTAGTACTGCTTTTCTTTATGTTCAAGGTACTTGTAAATATTACCATAAAGCTAGAAATTTTGTGGCCCCAAAATCCTTAAAAATTTGGTACAATATTAGTGACCAAAAGGATGATGAATTTGCAAAAATAAAATCCACAAAGCCATTTTGATAATACCGTATAGTGGGATTTATCGACGAAGGTTTTATTTTGACGAGTTGATGATTTAAAATAAAACATCAAATTTTATAACTATCAAAAATTTTGTAATTTGTGCCATGTGTACATGAAGGGCACTATTTGTCAAATTAAAACTTGCCGACCGGGGAAATTTACTGTTTTCATCAAATTTTTTACTCGTCAATAAATCCCGCTATACGGTAATTTACAGAAAATTTTGATCCACAGAATATAATGGTAATTTTATTTATTATTCATATTCTCATCAGGTCCTCCTGATAGTGTCAGTAATTTAACAGGATATCAGTTAGATTCTTGTTGTATGTTTATCAGTTGGTATCCTCCATTCACACTACCAGGACTAACAGTACAGTATATAATCAGTGTAGGAACTGATCAACAGTACCTTAATGACTCTATCACTAACTACACTTACTGTCCAATGAACCTAACCAATAAACAATATCTGTTTAACATTACAACTACTAATAAATCTGGGAATGGATCTACTAGTAACATAACTGTGGAATTTCACTTAGGTAGGCGTATAACAAAATAAAATAATTTTCTATTTTCAAATGTGTTAGATTCAAAAATTTCAATCGTTCATCAAGAATCTACATATCACATGGATAACAACTGGAGTTTACAATTCCTTTTACCAGTAAGTATTATACACAGTTCCATACACAACACACAATAACCATTATATTGTTGATACAGGATTATCAAATATGTACTGGATCACTTGCTAATATTACAGTAACTGGTTGTACTGTTAGTAAATGCAGCACTTGTTATTCATCAACAAACATATCCATTAGTAGTAGTGCTTATGATAACATTTCCATTATTGTTATTATAAATCTTCCATCAAGAGAGACACTGGATACTACTGTCATCTTATACTATCAAAATGGAGTAACATATCACAGCAACTCTGTCAAAATCAGTTAGTAGAATTATGAATTACTAGGCGAATGTAAAACATTGAGGGGCGAGCAAAACGATTAACATTTCGATTAGCAATATACAATGTTTATATAGACAATGATGTAGTGGCTATTAAATGTTGAATGTCGATGTCAATACACTAATGCAGAATTTGCAAGCATGGAAGGAATTTCATAGTTTCTAGCTTTGAGTGAAGAATCTCTGCAGTTATATAGATCTAGGATGGAAGATGGTTGGTCTCAGAAGCCAGAAGGAGACTCCATTTGTTGTCTTTGGGTGTGACAAGACCATCTCTAGCATTTCTCCGTATTGGACCTCCTCGCTCTTTTCTCCTCCTCACGCTCATTACGAAGAAGTCGACGAGCTTCACGAGCATCTTCTTGTGAATTACTCATGCTTTAAGCTTCAGCTTCTCTTGTTTTTTGAATACTCTTGTCTCTTGAACTCCTCTCGTC